AGTTTATTTTAAATTATTATAAATAATATATTATTTTTAAAACTATAATTTTTTAAATAATTATAAATAAATAGCTTTATAAAAACAAAAAAAAATAAATTTTTTAATTAATATTATTTTTAAATATTAAGCAAAATTTTAGTTAATTTTATTTAAAATAATAATAAAAATATATTTTTTTTTATATATTATATAATTTATATAAAATTTTACTTTTAATAATAGTTTTTTAAAATTTATTAAATATATTTATTATTTATAAAAAACTATTAAAATAAACATAAAAAAAAAATTTTTTAAAGTTATATTTAAAAGTTTAAAAAATATTAAAAACAATATTTTTTATTAATATTTTATAATTTATATAATTAAATAAAAAATAGTTTTTTTTATTAATTTTTTTTAAAAAAATATATATATTTTTAAATATAAAAAAGTATTTTTTTAGCTTTTTTTAAATTAAATAAAAAATATAAGCTTTATAAATTTTAATTTATTTTTTTTATAATAAATAATATATTTATTTTTTTTAAAATAAACAAATAACTAAAACTATAAATTTATAGCTTTAATAAATATAATATTATTATTATAATATTTAAATATAGCTATAAAAATATATTAAAAAAAAAAAATATTAAACTTTAAAAAATAAATAGTTTAATTAGCTATTTTTTAAAAACTATATGTTAAAAAACTTTTAAAAATTAAATTATTTTAAAAAATAAAATTTACTTAATTTTTTTTAAAAAAAATATTTTATTACTATTAAAAACTTTTAAAAAAAAAACATAAATTATTTTAAATTTTTTTATATTTTTAATAATAATATAAAAATTAATAATTAATTTAAGCTTTTTAAAATTATTAGTTTAAATTTAGCTATTATTAAAACTAATAAACTTTTTTTATTTTAATAGCTAAAAATTTTTTTTGTTATTAAAGCAGCTAATTTTTTTTAAAAAATTAATAAATATAAATATACTATACTTTAATTATTTTAATAAAACAAACTTTTTTTAAAAGTTTATATTTTTTTATAATATATTTTTTAATAATTAAATTATTAAAAGTTATAAAGTTTATATAATAAATTTTATATTAAAAATTAAAAAATATAGCTAGCTAACTAAAAATAAAATATTATTAAGTATAAAACTATTTATTAAATATTTAAAATATAATTAGTTTTTTGCTTTTTTAATTAAAATAAAACTTAAGTTTAGCTAGTTTTTTTTAAAAAAATTTTTAAACAAACTTATATATTAAAATTATAAATAAAATAAAAAAATAAAAAAATAAAAGCTTAAAATTTTAGTTTTTTATTAATATAAAAAAAATTATTAGTATTTAGTTATTATAAACTATTTTATAAAAATTTTTTATATAGTTAATTTTTTTTAAGCTATATATAAAAAAATAAAAATAAAACTTAATTTATTTTAAAAAGTTTATAAAAAAAAACTACTAAAATTGTTTTTTTTAAAAAAAATATATTTAGTACTTATTTTTAAATAATTAAATATTTAATAATATAAAATTTTTTATATTTTATATTTAAAATTATTAATATTAAATTTTAATTTGCTAAGTTTTTTAATATTATTAAAAAAAATTAAATTTAATAAAACTTTTTTTAAATAGTTTATAAATAAACTAAAAAAAATTATAAATATTATAATTATAAATAAACTTAATAAATTTAATAATAAAAGTTTAAAAAAAGCTTAAATAAAAAACAAAAAAAAAAAATTATTAACTAAAAAATAAAAAAAATTAAATATATTTATTAAGCTTAATAAATAGTTTAAATTTTAAATTAAAATTAAGTTTACTAATTTTAAATTAATATATATTAAAGTTAAACTTTTAAATAATATAAAAAATATTAATAGTTTTAGTAATAAAAATTAAAATTTTTTTTTTATATTAAATTTATTATTTTTTATACTGTTAGTTTTATTAAATATTAGTATATAAAATATATTAAAAAATATTAAATTAATTTGTTTTTTATTAAATTTATATTTTAATAAAAAGCTTTATTTTAATATTTTTGTTTTAAAAGCTAAAAATTATTATAAATAACTATTATTTAAATATAAAATTAAAGCTTATAAAACTAATATTAATTATATTAATATTATAGCTTTAAATTATTTTTTAAATTTTTTTAAAATTAATAAAATAAAAAACTTAATATTAAAAAATATTAAAAATTTATATTAATAGCTTTAAAAAAAATAAATAAATTTAGCTTAATATTTTTAAGCTATTATTTTTATTAAATAATAAAACTAAACTTAATATAAAGCTAATATAAAAACTATAAATATTATTAATATAGTTTTAAAAATAATTTAAAAGTATAAATTTTAAAAAAATAATAATATTTTAATATAATTAAATAAATTAAAATAGTAAGTTTGCTAAAAAAAGCTTTAAAAATAAAAAAAATTTATTAATTTATATATTAATTTAAAAAAAAAATATTATAAAAATTATATTTTATAAATTTACATTAAATTTTTTTTAAGTTTTTTATTTAATTTTATTTTAATTAAAAATATATTAAAAAACTAGCTATATTTTAATTAAAAAAAAATAAAACAAAATAAATAATTTAACTAAAAAGTTAAATTAATTATATAAAAAAAATTTAGCTAAAAAATTTATTAATTTTTTATATAAATAGTTTAGCTTTTAGCTTTAATTTTAGCTAAAAATTTAAAACTTATAAATAATATATACTTTTTTTTTTTTATTTTTCTAACTTTTTTTATATGTAAAATTTTTAGATAGCTAAAAGAATAGTTTAAACCAGGCCTTTAAAGTACGCTTAGAACCAACACCCTAAGTTGTTTTAGTATTAAAGCAAGTTCACAAACTTTATAGTAAATAAATGCTAGTAAGGGGAGATTATTTATATTATTTAAATAAGTAGAGAGAATTCAAGCCCTAACCTAGCCGCTACTAGTCCTGAGGGGAGATTAAACGCTTCGCTCTTCTAGAGAGTGTAGTCTGTGAGAGAGCAGAAAGTCGACAGAGCTAACAGCCTATCTGCATACCCCTCTCGCCAAGTACACGCAGTACCTTTGAATACCCCTCGTGGTAAAGCATACCGCGTCAGGTCACAATATGAGGACATAAAACCATATCATTTTCTTTTATACCTTTCTTCCCTTTTATCGCGATTTACTGCCACCAAGGGTCACTTAATATTTCCTTCGCCGAGGGTCTTTCCGAAGGCTCATATCTCAACATTCGCCCAATGAGGTCTCCGATCTTTGTTAGGTCCTGTTTCGAAAGCTCAGGGCGTCTGTCTCGGTAAAAATATGCCTTTTCCACCATCTCATGGAACGTGGGAGGGGGCTCATCCGGGAACTTCACTGCCTTCTTCATCTCTTGCGCTTTCGCTTCCCATCTCTCGGGCAACTTGTCATTGTTATCTAAGTCAACCATCTGCGCAGCTACAATCTCAACACTACTCATGTAGGTAGGGAAGAGTATTGCGCCGGTGAACAATTCATAAAGCTGTCCACGTTAATTAGTACACACGGTCACCGTCACTAAGGAAAGCATCATACCAAGCAGCCCGCGCTCCACATATCGACCTGACGATCCATGGGATCACCAAATATGACTTCAGGGGCTTGTACCGAGACAGAACAGTTCAAGTTAGCGGGAGGCTGATCCTGGTAAAACGACGTTCCAAAGTCTATGAGCTTGACATTGGGCGAAAATGGCAAGCCCTCGTCGATACTGATTTCCGGGAATTCAGTAGGCATGACAAGATAAGGCGGCACATAACTTTCTATCGGTAAGCCGTCGATCCTCGTTACCTTTCCCGTGTCGGGTTCCCCAAGCTTCTCTAGAAACTCCTCTTCGGGCAGGGAATCGATACCAGGTATCACCAACGCTAAATTTCGCGTGTGGATATCTTAAGCACGAGCGTTAGTTAACTCTCCAGCTTCTTTCTGCCGCTGACATACCTCCATGAGCGATCTTCTGTTGGCCAAGAAAATCAATCGCTTTGAAGACCTGGTGTGCAGCGCGTTTAGCTACCGCCGCAGGGAGCCTGTAGTTCTGGCTCGTCTCCTCGACAAGCTGGAATATGTTTGGCCCTAGCAGTTCCAAAACAAGGCACTGATGTTTTCCGCCAGGCCCTTCAACAATAAATCTGTCGAAAAGCTGAACAACATGCTGTTGTCCAGGATGAGTGTTCTTCGGAAGACAAGAAATCGAATGTAAGATGCCACCTTCGCTAGAGCTCTCTCCTCCTACCCCGGAAATCTTGACAGAGACATATCGTTGTTCCCTACAGTTTCATTAGTTGAAAGCATGAATACTGGGATCCTAGTAATGACGCATTATACTATGCTTACGTCTGATCACGAGCTACCCAAGTGGTAGAGAAGCTGCCATTCCCTAGCTTATGGATGATCTTGTATCTCCCGTCTTTGAGTTGGTCACCAAGCTTGACAGGGAGAAAACCGATCGGTCGATAGTGATAGACGGGCTCGGCATCTACTTCACACTTATAATATTCATCGGATTGGGATATGCGCTCGCGGCGACGGTTCGGTAGGCTAGCTAGGGACCTAGCCAGTCGAGGTTTGGGTTTAGGAGCATAAAACCCCGCCACCCTCGCTGTCCTCCTTAATTTAGATATCCCATTCATTCTGAAGGTATGTCATAAGGACAAGGGCGGTTGGCGATGCGGAATTGAATGACTCTTCCCTTCCCTCCTAACTACAACTGAATTGAGTTTGAAGCTCTGACTCACTGCCAAGTGCAAGGGGTAGGAAGTAGAAACAGGTCGCACAGTGCACAACGAAAACACGGGCCACCCCAACAAATCTTATCTTGCTTGGTATAGGTAAACGTCAACAATACCTAAGCGACAACAAGCAGCGATTGGGGTAGAATTCCCATCCGCAGCCAACAAGCGTCGCTAGTGCGATCCTTGTGTGGTGATACTAACAACGACGAGCATCATTGGTCCCATAGCTCAGTTGGTCAGAGCGTCGTACTAATATTATATCTACGCTACTAGATGTAATATCATGAGTCAATGCGAAGGCCGTGAGTTCAAGCCTCACTGGGACCAGCCGATTCACTTTTTGATGATCTATATTGTGTTGTAACCTTCTTTTTTATTATTTTTATTGTTTTCATGTTTGTTATCACTAGAGAAGATAGGTGTCCTTAGTGGCCACTCACAACCTAACATAAAGCATTAAGTATATATATTTCAAGTGAGAATATAACTAATAATATCCTTTAAATCTTAAGTTTATAACTAGGTCGTACCAATTAAATCTAACAAATAATCAACCATGTTTAATTTAAAGAAAGGCAGTTCTTATCTATCTAGTACTAAAACTTCTCCAAGATCAACTAGCACTCTAAATTCAATATACAGTGCTGAATGCTGATTATTACACAGTGTTTCTCTAATTCACCCTCCACCGTCTTAACGACAAGTTTCTCCGAACTCAACCAATCGGTCCCATAGCTCAGTTGGTTAGAGCGTCGTACTAATAGTATAATTACAATTATAATATCGGTAATGCGAAGGCCGTGAGTTCAAGCCTCACTGGGACCATCGCTTTAACTTTTGCGCTTCTTTTTGCCTTCGGGCTGTGTTTGGATTTGATTTCTGTGTATTGAAAGCACCGGAGAATTTTTAAGTAATCGAGCCACCCAGCTACGTAGTATGTATATATTAAAAATAATACGATATTGTCTACCTGTACCTACCTTAATGCAAGCAGTAGATGATGATGAATCAACATGTTTTACTTATCATGATCTCAATGTTATGAATTGGGAAGATAGACCGTAGCCGGTTCAATGCGGCATTAGAGCGGGGTAAAAAAATCAATTGATTGCTAACTAAGAGAGGGGAAGTACATACAGACAGTCAATATATATACTCTCAGTACTAACTACGTAGTCTACTCAATAAAACAAATAATCAAACAACAAAAGAAGATGGTTTTTCTCAGCACAGGGTAGCTAACCGGCGGTGCAAAGGCAGAGAGAGCGACAACGAGTCATCCACTTAGCGTCTGTGCCATCCCTACCACCTTCACACGCAGGTTTCGACTAGCCCCTAGCTTAGAAACAACAACATTCACTTATTTAGTGACACCCATGCAAGCAAAGTACTCCTTGAAGGCATTAACCTCAACAGCAAGGACACCCTCACGGTCGAGGAGGGACGCCGGGCGCCAGTACTCAGGCTCAACACGGGTCAGGATACCAGGGTAGCTGGTGAGGCCGTGAGGCTCGGTGACACCCCACGGGTTGCGGATGATGATGTACTGCTTGTCGCCCTGGCCGACGGAAGACCACCCGAGCACCGAGTAGGCGTGGTTGGCCACGAGGTTGCAGCCGCGATACGTCCCGCTGTCGGAGGCGTGCGTCCACGCCACCATCGGGCAGATGGTGCGGTGGTTGACGCTACAGCCGCGCACGAGCCCGATCAGGTCCGCCGCCTCGTGCTTGTCTGTGAAGAAGTACTGCGGCTCGTGCCCGTTGAGCTGCGCCATCGCCTTGACCGGGTCGCCGTTGTGCAGCTGCGTGATGTCCACGTGCTCTCTATTGTGGCTGCTACCGCTACTAACACCGACGCTGGCGCCGGCGCCGATGCTCTTGCTGCCGTGTTGGTGGTGTTGGTGGCGGTGGCGGTTCGGGTTGTCGTTGTTGCCGCCGCCGCCGATCCACTTGGCGAACGCCTTCTCGTACAGCGCCGGCCAGAGCGCCATGCCGTCGCTCGAGCGGCAGTACACGAAGTCCTCGCTCGAGTTATTCACCGGCACGCGGTAGTCGACCTCCACCACCTGCGTCTTGTTATTATTGCGGCCGCCCTGGTCGTAGAACTTGGCGCTAAATCTCTGCTGCTGACGCCCCTCATCATCGCTGCCATTGCCGCCGCCGTAGCGGAAGCGCACCTGCATGCTCGTGTTGCGGTTGATCATCGCCGGGTCCGCCCAGTACACCGAGAACAGCGCCGCGACGAACCAGCTGTTGGCCGTGGCGCCCTGGACCGGGTCGTCGAACTTGCGCACCGCCTGGTACTCGCGCGACCCGCCGTAGTCGAACAGCGTGTTGTAGTCCGAGATCATGCCCCGCCGCATGTTGCGCATCATGAGGACCTCGCGGGCGTCGCGCCAGGAGCTGTTGGGGGGCGTGAACGAGCTGCGCCCGTTGTCGCCGCGGCGGAAGGGCAGGCAGATGTCGTTGATCGTCTGCGTCACGTCCCGGTTGCCCACCGTTCGGGCGATCTCGTGGGCGTGCAGGACGAGGTGGAGCTTGTTGTTCAGGATACCAGCCCGCTTGATGCGGACGTTGCCCATTTCTTTCATGCCGATATCCTCGAGGTCACCGAGTCTCTCTAGGCGGCTGAGGTCCGGGGTGACAAGACTATAGTCAAATGTTAGAAACCAATCGCTTGTAGTATTTATTCAGGGGCTGGTGGAAGAAGAGCGACGGATACAAAGATGAACGAGGAAAAGTCGAGAATACGTACTCCTTCTCCTTCAAGATCTTCGTCTCCCCTTCTTCGAGCTCCTCAGCCGTACGCTCCTCCTTGTTCAGCTTAAGGCCGGCATAGAGGACCGAGTGGTGCTTCATGTCGAAGAGCTCCTCGTAGTCGGTCTGGAGAGTATCCTGGATAATTCGGATTGCAGTGATGGATTGGCGATCAATCTTGTGCCCGATCATGTTCTCGACGAGGGCAAAGGGGTTGATGCAGCCAACAAAGACATCCTCGGGTCTCGGGTCTGGCTGAGGCTCCTCCTGTTTTCTCGAGCGGCATGTCCGAATGTCGCTCAGGTCATCATATCCCTCGGGGGCTGGTCGGGAAGGCAGAGAAGTTCGCTCTAGCTTTCTACCGGTAAGCGCTTCGAAGAGCACATAAGGGTCAATAGACCCAGAAGGCCCGTTGGCAGGAGATTCGGATCGAGAGTTGTACGAAACCATCTTGGTGATATAAAAATAAAATTGGATTCTTAAGATAGGCTATGGCAATTGTCTAGATAGTATCAGGTTGAAAGGACAAGCACGGAAGCCTGGAGGACAGAGATGAGGCAATGAATTGACCAAGAAGAACTCATGCTTTATATATAGATCCGCTACCCCCTTTCCAACATCTAAGTAACGCTGTGCAGAAAAGAAGACAGTTGTGCAAGCATACCCGCCCGCTCCGCTCTCTTGACCTTACGGATTCTAGCTACAAGTGTTCTTACTGAGACGTAGACTCAGATACGAGATACGGGCCGAAGGCGTTCGCACATTCATTGCCGACTCGCATGACACGTTTCGTATTGACAGATCCAAGGTACAAGAACATCACTTCTGTAGGTTTTCCGACCTGCCCGATTGAAGTTTCCGTTACCCCAAACCCCAACCAAAGACAGGAGATCCAGCTTGCTTCTACTAATCATATGTCGTCAATTACTTAATGAAAGCTATTAGAATTCGAAACTACGTTGAATATCCTTGAGGGGCCGGACCTAGCAGTCGTCCAAAATACCGCGGGGCCGGCAGGATGCTTGATAGGATCGTTTTAACACCCGTCACCCGGATTTCGAGATGTCAAAACCTAAAATGCGGGAAGTTCTACCTAAGGTTCCGTCAAAAGGCTAGGGTCTAAGGGGTAATATGCATGCAGCCGCAATGCAAGTGTCTCTAGGTTTGTTTCTTTGAACCGATATCTCCTCATGGAGAATGGTCAAGATATTCTAGCCCGTCAGTCTCTATCAGTAAGAACGGTTCTCTATCTTAATCTCAAGTGAACTCTTTCGCCCTCAATACCTGAATGCAAAGAAGGTCAATTGGTTACCTCACAGAAGTTGCCCACTCGTGGCTTATTACTAGTACCGACTCAGGAAGGGTAGCGTCCAATCCGTTCAGCTACCCCTGTGACTCGTAGTAGCCGAAACAGCCAACATCGTGGCATATTTGAACTCTAAACCATGATGGATCGTTATCCAGGGGAATGAATCTATGCTAAGGCATTGCTTGTGTAATGTTAGAAAAAGGAAGAGTATATCTAATAAAGCCTTTACGGTGGCCGGAAACGTCCCCGCTCCTCCATATAAGCTCTATCCATCCTCGGCAGGAATTTCTGCAAGGCGGTCAACATTATCTATATTCCGCCGTGAATAGCCGGATACCAGCCATTCCTACCCCACTCACTCTCATGGTCTGCAAAAATCATAGCCACTATAAAACCAACTCATCCCAACATCAGGAAAAAAAGGAATTGTTGAGTGCTGCAGGATTCGAACCTGCGCGGTTTCCCACTGCGGGTTTGAGGTACGCTAGGAAGAACCTGGCGACGACCTAAACACAGCGCCTTAACCACTCGGCCAAACACCCTACATTTTGAGGAATTAAACCTCCAAGGATGGACTCGCGGGGAATCGAACCCCGGACCACTCCCATGCTAAGGGAGTATTATACCACTAAACCACAAGCCCCTGGAAGCTGTGAGCTTCTTGTATGGAGTAGCGGCTTGTTAAATTAGTATCTATTATAATCGCTAGGTTGTTTGTTAGAGGTTGAGGAACTTAGTGCGATATCTTGGTAGGACTATTGGTGACAGTCAAGACGCTAACCGTTACGCTTAGGTAAGAAGATAAATATCACCCCAGAATGTTTGTTTAAAGGACAATTCAAAGTTACATAAGCATACACATTATTACCGGATGTTATCCTATGTCATAATCCCCTTAGTTATAGTAGGTGATATATAATTGTAATTGTGCGATGGCTTTTAAACCCCCTTTGAACACTACCCTACCAATATGCAGGAAGTATTTTTTCTTTACTCCTTTTTACTCCCTAGGACGTTTAGCCTTGCCTGCAGATATACTATTTAGAGTTGTCTCCGTTTGAGTTCTTTTCAAGCCCACTAGCTCTAGTATACACCAGGCTTCCAAATAAAAAGATCAATATTAATATCTTCTAATGTCGCTGGCCTTCAGATACAAACGCTGATGTATAGGTAGGTCCTGAATACTTGTTGATGCACAAGTATCCCTAATTGCTACCTCAAGACAAGCGACATCTATATACAAGATAACTCTTTGTCTTGTGCCTTCAGGGGCAGATGTATGCGGCCACAGGTAGCCTGGGTCGCAGTCTGGATTGTGACGTCTGGGCTCTTGACTGGGTGTTGGCGTCTATAGGCAATTTTGCCTAGGTCGGTCGATATCCGTCCGGGCGGTGTGTTGCAACACTAGATTTAAAAATGTCAGTAAGTATCTTATCTTTACGGATAAATTGTACTTGGAACTTTTCAGTATAGACAGTAAACATACTTAATATTAGCCGGCCACTAGGAAGGCGATAAGGAACAAGGTCCTGTACTCTCTTATATCTTCTCCGAACTCGATCGCGCCAGAGAGTGGTCTTATGGTAACTAAACGGACGGCCACATGAATAGCAGAATGTATATCCCGTTTCCAAATCTAAGTGGTAACGTTCCTCCTCGTGGAGTCTGCCGGGGGCACGGGGGCATGACAGGTTCAATATGCGATTTGCAATTGTATGGTAGTCGGCATCTGGAAATAAGGCTGGGATCCTACGAGGTCGCATGCGCTTCTTATAAACTAATTGACGAAATAGACAGTATCGAAGGAACAAATAATCTCTCTCGGACCAGAGGATAAATTGCGCCAGTCGATTGACCTGAGTAAATCTAGCCGCGCTAGGAATGTCGAGGTACCCCGTGATCATGAACAAGAGCTCAAGCGGCAGTTTCGAAAGCCCGCCTAGGTCGGCTAACACCACATCGGCAGGTGGCGGCATTGTTGAGCTAGGATGCTCTTGACGGGATAGCTGGCTGAGCACCCCGTAGTTCGAATTACGTGGTTGCTCAGTAGTGACGTGCGAAAAGTGTTGGGGAGAAATGCAGTTGGTTGGTTTGCGATACTAGACTATCAGTGAGGAAGTCTGAGGCGGTTGGTTGCGTGTGGTGGTGCCTAATGGAAGTTGATGGGTGAGGAGAGGAGGAGTAGGCAAGGAGGATGCACTGCGATGTGTGTATGAGAGTTAGAGTCTACCCTGGTAGGTAGTTGGGAGCAGATGAGAAGAGAACTAGAAGAGTTTTAGGAAGACAATGTGCAATTCTACGTTGTGCCTTTCCCAGTCAGATAGGGAGACTTTAGTTTCAACTCTATAACACCTTGTTTCTAGTTAATGTAGAGGCAGTGGCAAGTAAGTGCAGGCACGCTAGCCGTATTCACGTTCCATAATGCCATTACCAACGATTGCAGTTCACTGCAAGGCAACAGCAGCCTATATCCACCTAGTTATAATATGGTATAAGTCATTCTAAACTGAAGTGAATGCTTTGATAAGCAGATAACAAGTTAGCTAAATCATATAGATATATCTGGGACAACTATGTAATCGATTTTTCAAACCAGCCCGACTCCTTTAAAACATATCGAGCTTGACTTTTAATTACCAATGCTAGTATGGCTATGCAAATAACAAGCAAACAAAACCTCCAAATCTGCCAAGCACAATGCCGAGCCAAAGTCTACAAATAAAAACATCTGACAGGAGTGTCGTGAGGCCACCCACAACCAGAAACATAAAGGTTCGCCTAGTCTTCCATAGACAAACGAGGACGTATCGCCCACCTTAATTAGGTCTGAAGAATATAACAAGCCTCAAAGCATTAGGGACGAACACCCATCTTTGCTTTACAGCTCTGACCATGATAAGCCGGCTTATAAATCTTGTCTAGCCGTGCCTAATTCTTCTAGGCATTTGTCGCAAATTTACCCCTAAGGTCCTGCGCTGTGATCCGCGACGTCTTTTTCGCGAGTTTATTAATAAAGTCCCGCGCTGGGATCCTCTGCGTCTTCTTCGCGAGCTTACTAGTGTGATTAGCCACCCTCTGCTTCTTCATAACATGCATCGTGTACACCTGCTCGCCATTGGTATCCGTCGCTGTAGTGGTGTCGTAGTCGAAGCTTCTCTTCAGACCACCCCCTACGGCTGGGGTCACGTCCGGGGTCTGGAATTGACCAGAGCCGGAAATGAAATTAGTCGTAGGTTCCTCTTCTCTCGTCGGTAGCGGTAGTCGTGAGACTTCGGCCAAATTGTCCTCCCAGCGCTACTGCTGGAGCCAACGATTTCCTATTTTAGCTATATCTGCACTCATAATACTCTGTTTCATGAGTTTACACATGAGTTTATACATATACATACATACACATACATACACATGCATATATATATATAATGTATCAGCGGGTAAAAGGTCTCTTGTCTTGTCTTATCTTGTTCTACCTTTTGATGTCTTTATATATGTCTCAGTTCTTGGCCTTGTTTCTATCGCCCTCCTGATCCACCCACCAATAACCAAAGCCATGCTGTCCTATCTGAGGAAGTTGGAGGCGATCCGTGTAGTCGAACGTGCGGGCGAGGTAGAGGACCTTACACTTGTGTACGAAGCCGGGGTGCGTATAAGCATGCGGAATACCATTGTACTTGGACTGGTCCTGCTTTTTGATCCATCCAAAATGTACTTCTCCCTGGTTAGGCTTTCGAAGGCATAAGCCATTGGACGTGTTAAGTTCTGGTCGTTGCGGGTCTCGGAAAACCAAGGTATACACCTCGTCAACTTGGGGGAGTTGTTCCACAGGAAAGACTCCGCCTAGGTCTATTATAAGTTAATAAAAAGTAATAAGACTATTGTATTGTTAGACTTGACGTACAGATAATATCAACGTAGCCAACAATATGGATAGCGTTGACTGCTTCAGAAACTGAAACGTTGGCAGACATGTTGAAAGTCGTAATGTGTTGAGGTTTTCAAGTAATGCCGAACAGTAGTGATACAAGCTGGAGCAGAACAGCTTGAGAGAGAGAGAGAGAGAGAGAGAGAGAGAGAGATGGAGATGGAGGCTTGAGAGAGAGAGAGATAGAAGCTGGAGAGAAAAAGATGGACTTTTAGATTCAACAATCAACACCCTCTCAACAGTACAACCTGGCAGCCTTGTACTCCGCTTTTCGCTGGCCATAGACATTTCTGTAATGCAGTAAGCCGCTGATTCCCGTGGAGAAAGACAACTAGCTAAACCTGTCAGAATTTTTCGTTTGCCTCAAACGGAATGTATAAGGGCGTTTTCATCATATAGTACATAGGTAATTATATAGTGGGTGATCGGCTTTTGTTGCGCGAAGCTCTTCAAACCTCTGGATGCTATTTTATCTACTCCTTCCTACACCTTACGATAACCTTTTTGGTGATGTAGCAGTCACCTTCCCTGGTATGTAGTATGTAGGCACACTCCGGCCACCAGTCCCGGCCGGGGTATAATATATTGCAACCCACCTAGTCCTGCGAAGTCCTTAGCCGTCTTGCAGATAGGAGAATTTTAACGAAGGCAAACCAAATTATAATCTACACTAGGGTGTAAATAGGTGTCCAGCTGATTAGGTTCTCTTGAAGTACATACTGTATACCTTTTCCTATCCTTATAGCGTTTTGGCTTTATTCCACTCTTCCCGATAGTCTCGTGCGGTCCGTCTCTAGCGTCACCCTTCTGGCGGACTCTAGACTATGTGCGGGGTGGCCATTGTCGCTATACGCAGCGCTACAAGGCTACACCAAGGGAGTGATCGTGAGGCATGAAAAGGAAAGAACAAAGGAGGCATTCCTGTAGATAGGTAGAGCACTTACTATACATTAAAAAGTTCGAACACAAAGACTTTTATTTTTTGTATTAACTTCGTTTTCTTGTTAATCAGTTCGAGGTTTGTTTGGGAGCTTTCCGGCTTGTGCATGCGTACAATAGAGCAGACAATAATAGAATTTACTTGATAGGGAGGATCGAGGAACTATTTCCCAAGAAAGATATATAAATATAAGATCTTTTCTGTTTTGAACAGCAGTAGATTGATTAATATTCAGCAGTACTACTTACTAATTGGTTAACAACATGCCTGAAGAAACCTATTCCCGTGAAGGGTCCGAGGACAACCAGACCATTGCTGCCTTTGGCTCCACAGACGGGACAGTCAATGAGAGCAGCGCGCTCGAGCTCTTCACGGTAAAAGAAGACGGCCACGTCGCGTACCTCGACGTAGGAAGCCTGGAGGAATATCTTGATAACACGCCCGACAAGGCCGAAGCACTAGAAGCGGTCATTACAGAGATATGTGTCCAGATAGAAAAGGAAGAGGACTTTAAGGAATGGACCCTGGACATACATGACCTCGTCGCTCGCAAAAACTACTGGCACGGGAAAGGGCACAACACCCTCAAGTCATGGCTAGCTGATCACCAAACATTCTTCAACAGCGCGAAGCAAGGTCGCGCGATCCGGAACAAGAGAAAGTCAGCTATCAACAGTCTT